ACCGACGCCGACTGTTTGTCACGGGCACCTGCAGACACAGCACTATCAGATGAAGAGGACTTTCCATTCGTGGCTGTTGTCGAGACTTCTCAGATAGCTGAAATTCAACATGCGGACGAAGAATTGCTCCCGCTCATCAACACCTGATAGGAGCTGACGTACAAGTACCTCGCATATTTTCTCGAAGCCTCGCATCGTTCTGCCTCCGAGGAAATGTCTTCTACAAGAGAAACTTTAAACCCAACCGTGAAAAGTTTCTGCTTGTTGTTCCCGCAACTATGCGGCAAGAAATATTACAAGCGTGCCACGATGAGCCTACGTATGGACATTTGGGTGTCACTCGAACGCTTGCACGAATTAGTCAGCATTATTATTGGCCCAAGCTATTGTCTTCAGTACAGCGCTATGTCAGAACATGCCGCGAGTGCCAAAGACGGAAAGCGACTCGTGCTAAGCCAGCGGGCCTTCTGCACCCGATAGACCCACCGAAAGCACCCTTCCAACAAGTTGGAATGTACCTCCTTGGACCATTCTCGACATCTTTACTTGGCAAGAAGTGGATCGTTGTAGCGACTGATTATTTAACGAGATACGTGGAAACAGACTCCTTGCATCGAGGAACGGCAGCTGAGGTCGCCAAATTCTTTGTACAGAGCATAGTGCTACGGCATGGCGCTCCAACTGTTGTAATCACCGATCGCGGACCGGCTTTCACGGCGGAACTCATGGAATGCCTGCTGAACATGACCCACACTGTTCACTGGAAAACTACCGCATATCACCCTCAAAGCAACGGCCTGACTGAACGCCTTAACAGAACTCTAGCTGACATGATATCTATGTATGTGGACGTCGAGCACAAAAAGTGGGACGAAATTTTACCATACTTCACCTTCGCCTATAACACCGCCGTACAAGAGACTACCAAGATTACCCCGTTTCAACTAGTTTACGGTCGTGTAGTTAACACAACACTGGGTGCTATGTTACCTATAGATCAAGATGACTACCCTTCTGATCTCGATGACTATAGAGAGAGAGCGGAGGAGGCCCGCCAATTAGCAAGGTACCGAATATGTCACCAACAACGAATCGATGCCGACCGCTACAACCGAGGAAGACGTGAAACACGGTATGAGGTGACAAAGTGTGGATATGGATCCCAGTACGACGACTAGGCCTGTCTCAAAAACTCATTTGTCGATATTTCGGTCCTTACGAGGTAGTACAGCGACTCAGCGACCTCGTTTATGAAGTCAAGCCTACAGGACATGGGCATTCTAAACGGCGCAATCCCACCGAGCGTGTACACATTGTGTGCATGAAACCGTACTACGACCGGTACGAAAACTAGCCACCCCACTTGCTTGCTGTACAACCATTTCCCTCTTACAAACCTTCCGAGACGGAAACGCTGCATACATTATCATCGAAAGCATCGGGGCGATGCCTCTTGAGAGGGGGGATAAATCTACAGGAAATTACCATTGCTCCGCGCAACGCGGACGTTGGGAACCAGTGAAATGCTAACGGCACGACTACGAGCGACGAAGCCAGCCGCAATGCACGAGCCGGCCCTGCATGCTCCCGGTACTCCGCCGAACAGCCAACGCTCGTGAAGAAGAAGAGAACGAGGGCGCTCGAGGCAGAGGCTCACGAGGACTACCGCCCTTGGATCTTCTTGATTGCTGTGCCTCGTTCACTTTGGGCACAAGTTCGCCCTTAATAAACCGTGTAAATAGAACATTGTTGTTGTGAGGCTGCTACATTCGTTACAATATGCAGGCTTGGAGAACGCAGACTTGGATCGTTGCTTTGAACTCCATGATCTGAAGGCGGCCCTGTCCAAAATGAAGCGAGGAACGGCGCCGGGTAGGGGTCGAGTGACGGTTAGGCTTCTAGCCAACCTCCCAGACCCGGCATATCATCAGCTCCTCGACTGCTTCAATCAAATTCGGGAGGGGAATGAACGACTGCCATTTGATTGGAAAATGGATTTGGTAACATTTATTCCCAAACCAGGCAAGTCTATAAACATCGAAAATCTACGACCCATTTTTTTGACCTCGTGTGTGGGGAAGCTTATGGAAACGATGGTTAGGGATCGGCTGTCCGACTACCTCGAGACCCGGCACATCTTTGCCGACACTATGTACGGTTTTCGACAGCATTGCTCTGCTCAGGACATACTCCTTCAACTCTATCGTGACGTCATTGAGCCGATCAAGCATCCCAGCAATGATAAGGTAGTCCTCGCCTTGGATATCAAAGGGGCTTTTGATAACGTCACCCACGAAATCATTCTTACCTATCTGTCCCAAACAGACTCTGGGCATAATGCTTTCAGGTACATCAGTTCCCGACGGAACGGCAGACGTACCTCTGCATCCAAGACAGGGAGCATGGCCCATATTCTCTGGGTACTCGAGGAACACCACAGGGAGTGGTCCTCTCCCCCCTTCTGTTTAACCTCGCCATGGCTCATCTCCCCCCACTGCTGAAGGGTATTCCCGGCGAACGCCAAGCTATGCACGCCGATTATATCATGCTGTGGGCAACCCAGGGTTTCTTTGGCAGCATTGAGGCCAGCTTGCAACAAGCAGCGTCGGTCGTGGAGGACTGCGCCCGTCGCTGCGGCCTCGAATGCTCTCCAACGAAATTTGAGTATGTACACCTTCGCTCCGAACCCAAAGACACGACAGAAATCCTGATTTCGTTGCGCACCGGGCTAATCGCGGAATGTGAAGAAATCCGCGCCTTGGGGCTTTTTATACACAAGAGCAGAAAAGCTGACACAACCCTGCGCAAGCTACGTACGGTCGGAGATCAGGTAGGCCGCATGGTTCGTCGGATCTCGAAAAAGCGAGGGGGTCTCCGAAGCAGCGACACTCTGCGCCTTGCCAACGCTTTCGTGACCAGTCGGATTCTGTATTCGACACCCTACCTACGTTTGCGCCAATGTGACGTAAACACACTCGAATGCATTCTTTGCAAGTTATACAAGCGCGCCCTAGAACTTCCGATCTCGACGTCTAACCAACGCCTTGCAGATTTGGGTATGACAAACACGTACAGGGAACTCAGGTCCATCTCAACAACCAGTACCTGCGGCTTACCAAGTCGCACACGGGGAGATGTCTCTTACACCGCCTCCATATATCCTACACCTATCAGGCAGAAGAGCGGACCACGATCCCCGAGGAGTGGCGTAGTGCGTTGGTTATTCAGCCTCTGCTCCACAACATGGCTAGGAATACTCACGAAGGCAGGCGAACTGCGCGAGTTACAGCCTTGCAAGGACGCTATGGGTCCCGTTTTGGAGTATTCTACACGGACGCGTCTGGCCCTCACCACTGGGGGTAGTACATAGCAGCGGTAGTCCATCAAAACATTTCCGTTCAATGGCTCACTTTTGAGCCCCAGACATTACTCACGCGGAGGAAGTCGCCATAGCTCTCGCCGCAGCGGACCCCGCATCTAAGATCATCATTACCAATTCGCGAAGTGCGTGTCGAAATTTTACAAAAGGTCGCACCACCAGTCGCGCCGCTCGAATACTGAAGGGACAGTGTTATTATCTAGACAGCCCAAACACACTTTCAGTGATATAGTTGGTAACGAGGCTGCCAATGCCTCAGCCCGCGCACTTGATTACCGGTAACCTCCTCGTCCTCTATCACCTGACGATTCAGAACCTAATACGGTCACCTCCTTTCGCGAAATTACAGCCATGTACAGATCGAACAGGCTCCGATTTCCACCCCCCGGCGACGGGCCTAAATAAGGCGGACGAGCGCTGGCTGTTACGCCTTTACACCAACACACTATTGTGCCCGGCAATACTTAGGCATTTCAATCCGGCTTTCTCAGGGGAATGCCCACACTGTGATCATCCGCTTGCGGACACTTTCTACATGATGTGGGCATGTCCATCTCACCCGGCGGTCCCCCCAATCACTTCCTCTTCACCCCCAACCCGAGAGAGCTGAGAAGCTGCCCTGCTCGACCTTGGAGGGTCGAAGAGCCTTCGTGGCCAGGGCGCGTGCCTCCGCGGAAGCCACAGGTGTCTCGGACTAGGGACTCCTATAGAGTTTATACAGGGTCGGGCCTTATGCCCGCCTCTATCTCTCTTACTTGTAAATAGTATGAATAAATGTTTTTCACCACCACCACCTTGATGCACGGAATGTTTTCTATTTAGTGGAGCTAGTTCAATTACTAGTGATTAATTGTAGGCTGACACTTGAACGTCATTAGGAACATTTTGCCATGTCCTACTGCGGCGCATGTGTTCTCGTGCATTTACACTCATTTTTCGGTAAGTGGGGCACTCCTGTTGATAATGTTGTTGTTTTAGACGATGCCATGCGTTGAGCTTTCACTCTTATTTAAATTATTTGACTTTAGTGTCGCCTTAATTGTCAGTCAGAGAACGCGGCAATGCCTACCTTGATTCGCCACGTTGTGGTTATTGTGCTCAGCCGCAGGTTAAGGCGGCTGAATTTTCGACGGAGGCGATAACGACTGCGGCCCGTGTGCTTATATTTAGGTGTCCACCTCCCGGTGGTTGAAATTCCTGGAGTCATCCGGCTTCTTTCACAATCACGTCTTGGTTATGACAAGTTGAGCCCCCATTGTTGTTGTTGTTGTTGTTGTTGTTGTTGTTGTTGTTGTTGTTGTTGTTGTTGTTGTTGTTGTTGTTGTTGTTGACACGTACCAACTGGCCCAGCTAACCGCTCTTATAAAATTTTCTCCAAACAAAGGGAGCGTTTTATAAAAAAATATTTATCTGGTTCCAATTCATGCCGACGTTTGGCGTCAAGTGATAATAGAGGATGAAATCAAAATGTACTAATGTAGTGCGAATCTGTCAGTGATGTACAACTATTCGTAGAAAAACGGCAAAGCAGTCATCAACAACGCATATATACGCAGTCACAATGAGAATGTTCCAACGCATGCTTATAGTGGCAGTAGGCGGGCGGCAAATACGCGCCCACCTTGTCGACCAAGGATCCCAGACGTTCATACTCGTCAGGGAAGTGGGCCCTCGACTCGAGATCCTCGATCTCCAGGTACGCGGCTAGCGACTGCACCATGTCGGCAGCCACGTCCATCAGGCCCGTCTCGATGCTCACCTGTACATCAGCAGTTATGAAGAACACTTGTCGCCGTTGTAGTCAAGAAACTTGGTGGTATGCTGAAGGTCGTTTTTCTTTACTAGTGAGCACTAACGGACAGTGATGCCATGAAATGTATAAGGGATATGTTAAACGTGAAGCAGGAAGAGAGGATGAAAAGATAACATGCCACTGAGCGAACCTGCGAATAACGCGTCCGACGCTCTACCAACTGCTGAGCTACGGCGGCGGTCGTCGGCTTAATGGGGGTACACATGTGTGCATGCAAACCTATAAGTGCCGCTGACTAACACTCTTATCGGTTTATAACAGCGCCGAGTGTGCAACACTTTTTTCTGCTTGCTTTATTGTTTGTAAGTGATCATTAACCTTGGCGGTATCTTGCGAGACCTGTCGAGGCACTGCGAGATTCGGCCAGACCGTCAGCAATGTCGTGATGGGACGGTTAGGGCGGCACAAACGACGTCATCGCGTGGCATTCCCGGGGTTTGTGCAGCAATAGTGGGTTAGATGCAGAAAGCGGGTGCGATAATCGACGGAGAAGGTTAGAGTAATTTAGCGAGTGTTTTGTAACATCGTACGCTTTCGTATTTCTCTCTATTGCTGCCTGGAATGTCAGTTTTTGTTTGAAAAAACATCTGCTGTCTAACAGGCATCTGCGATATGCATAGGCCAACCATGGCTTCCTTCCTATCTAAGAAGAGACCGATAGCCCTTGGTGCTTACCTCCCCGCTAGTCTGCACGTCGATGGTGATCGGCTTCAGGCATCGCAGTGCGAGGAAGCTCACCCTGAAGGAGTCCTGGTACTGCAGCTCCTCGGCCAAAAGGAAGTTCTGATTCACCCACGACGCCACCTGCGGGGACATATGTACAATAGTCGGTCTTAACGTCTTGGCTGATCTTTCCTTGGCGCATTCCAACGACAGCCTGCCACAAAGCGACGCCATGGCGGAAGCGACGACCTTTCGTCGCTCGGCAGCGCCGGGGCAGACTGTCTTCGTCAATGGGCGGCGCATGTGTGGCTTCGTGAGGTTAAATCCAAGCGGTGCGAATCTGATGGCGGTGAACGCGGACACCCGACGTCTTACCTCGCTCCTATTGGCAAGTCAGTCAAACGTTGCTCACATACGCCGACGACGCGCATCATATGACCGGGCACTCATCACTGCTCTAAAGTAAGTGCCGACGTTACGTAAGGTCTGACCATTAGCTACATCTTACATGCCAGTATTGTCTACATGCCTGAAAAGCCCACAGTTCGCGCCCAACTAAACTGTGTCGGGCGCTTCGTTCGCGCAGACACATTGCGGCGCGGTGCCAGAAATATGCAATGTTAAGTCAAGGTTGTCATTTTTTAAATGCGGAACATTTGTCGCACCTACTCGCAAATCCGACTTCGGCGGTGTCGTCTACACCTTGACTGCGCATGCTCTCGTCTTGTGCCAACTGTCGCTTTGCTTGGCTCGAGTAGATGCGATGGAAGCAACAGTATATACCTTCAACCGTTTAGTGAGGCACTACCCAACATCAGCGTCCCACCACTCTCTGAAGGCAACGCTTCTCTGTCATTCAATAAATAAGGATAATAAAGACGAAAAAAATTCGGCAGATCCCATGTATCCGGGAATCGCCGTTATGTGAAGCATGCGAAGGGAAGCTGACCCTGTTGCAATTTTTTTATTATGTGACACGTCATGAAATGGCGCAAAATACTAGTACAAATGTTGCACACACAGACATATGTTGAAAAGTTGCAGATGTTTGTACAACCAGTTGTTTGCACTTGCGCAACGATGCCAACTGGAACATGCGTATTAGCAACACCAGAAGCTGATATGAAGCGCTGATGCTCGCGAGGATGCTGGCCCTAGACACTGCTACATAAATCAACTTCAGCGCAAGGCAACTAACCGCAAGTGACGTTAGCCCGCGGTGGCGGCTGTATCAAAGGAGTACACATGTAATGTTTTTTAAGATTGGGTAGGCAGTTCTACAACCAGTATTGACGTTTCACGAAGATTAGCGTCTATTTGAATAGTAGTTCCGAGACCTAGCTTAGCTCTGTGGTAAAATGTTTCATTGCCACGCAGAATGCTTCGGTTCAATTCCAGCTGGGACCCTGACATTTATTCTTTGCATTTGTTGGGTCGACGCTACCGATGCCGGGTATTTCTTAACGCTTATATTGCCCATGTGCGTTCTCGTCGTTCCTGGGTAGATACCAAGTGTCAATAATCTGTGCCAGATACCCGCATACCAGCGGCACATACCCGCTGGTATGCGGGTATCTGGCACAGATTATTGACACCCGCCCATGTGTATGTGCCACTGCCTGGTGGGAAGTGTTTTACGACCTACGCGACGGGATTGTGACATTATGCATGCCATGACCAGCGCGTCTTAAAGTTGTCAAACCAGCTCACCCTCTCATGCTAATTTTGGTTCACGCCAAGTTAAGGGGGTGACCACGAGAGCACCCAAGCGTAAGCGGATAGATAGATAGATAGATAGATAGATAGATAGATAGATACTCTGAAAGTCGCCGAAGTTCGCTAAGAAATGCTTCGCATTTAATATCAATTATGCATTCCCAAACTATACCCCATTACGCAACATTCATGCGATACCCCCACCATTATGCGACGCATTTACTCGAGTTTCTCCCGTGGCGAAATGCGGGTGGCTCTTTCTTTTATTATTAATGCTTCGTAATGTGTCACCGTTAAGCACGGCATTATCTTGAGCGTCACGTGTGAGCGAGCTGCTCAGTCACTAGAAGTGCGAATACAAATTAAGGGACCTTAAAGCTTCGCCTTCAGGAGTTGAACGCGATAGCGACATCATGTTCCTAGTGCGTACTTCAAACACTTAGTGCATGAAACCTTTCCGAATTTGCTCTGGGCAACGAACGCCTTCTCACATGCATGCATGTTACTGGCCTATAGGGCGCCTCCACAATAAAGGGTGGCGCAGTGCATTGTGGGTAATTCGCCATTTTGAAGCCAAGCGAGAAAATAAACTTTGTTAAAATTCGATAACAGTACGCGCAGGTAGCAGACCGAGGGGATCCCGTGGGGACCGTTATGTCTCCCGCAAATCCTGGCCGTCAGTGCGAGCTGAGTGGAGAACAAAATCTCCCATCGCTCAAGGAATGTTTGTGGAATGGAAGGTGCCTTCTTTGAGGTCTCGGCTATAGTTTGTGCCTCTTTCCGTCTTCCAGAAAGGGCACAATGTTCCGCCGGGTCTAGATTCGATGTAACCGTAAACTGAGAACGGGGTGCTCTAGCAATCCTGCCTGCGTGCGCCACAGCATTGTTCGCTGTTGCCTGGTTAGTTGCCGATTTACTCGCCCACAGAGAAACTGCTGGAAATGAGCGCCCACAATACGGTAAAGGAGCTGATTGAGGCTCACTTTTTTTATTAACCAAACGCCTATAGCCAAACGGAGCACGGCCGGACCGTCCTAAGAAAAATAGGACGGCAGATAGAGCCACTGCGAGCCATGACGGGCCTCCAGAGCAGTGCAAAGAGGCCATTCTAACCAATCGCCATTCCCGGGGACCCGGCGGAGGACGAATAGAGACGGATCGAGCCAAGAGGTGCGACAGCTGGACGAGGACGCCTCGCTCAGGAAACGCGAGCAACAGCGGCAGCCGCGTCCATCGTCAAGCTGATCGTCAGCGCGTCTTTGAGGACGACAGAGGCATTCGTTGGGGAAGAAGCGGCTGTGGACCTCGTCACAGATTTCAAGTTAGCGTACAGAAGCCTCCACAGGGGAGTGATCTCTCCCACGGCCGTTCTCACCAAGTACAACCCTCCGAAACGAGCCATCGAGTTCGTGTGGATCCCGGCTCATTAGAAAGCAACGCTAACCTCTACGCCCGAGAACTATCTGTCCGGGCCATGGTCCAGGCCGATCTGCCGCATCCCGCGACGGAGCTTTAAAGACATTACTCAAATGTACTTCATGAATGCGCCAACTTCCCGAACCGCACCCAGCCGGGAAGAAGCAGGTCTGCGGTAGCTCTGAATAAACAAATGGACGTGCCGGTGCGGTCGCGCTTGTTAGTCTTGTGAAGAGAGCAGTAACTACGAAGTCAGCGAAGAGCATCCGAGCGCGATATGACGGCAATCACGCTAGCGTCGACCGGCCTGGCGGCAAATGGTTTACGCTTTCTTCTCTCCCTCGTTGGCTGTTCTACGCTCCGACGAACCCGCTTTCTCTCCATCTTAAGCTGTCCATTGGTACCGCGCGCGCGATAACAGAACTGCTGATCTAAGCAGTTTGCTAAGCTGGACAAAATCTATCGCGTTTTCATAACGAAGTGCATAGAAAAAAAAACTTGAAAATGCGTCTTCCTTGGGCGGGAGTGATTGCAGCTTAAGGAACAGCAAAACGAGTGAGGGGATTCCAGTGAGGATTCTGGTGCATTGCTTAGTCGACGCCCGCACGCGGTAGTCTTCGCGAGCGATGTGCGGAGTGGACCCGTTCACGCTGCAGGCAGCCGACTGCATGGTGGACGTTGTCGCGCGTCGATGCCTCGGGCATTCGCTAGTATTTCTGGTCTTGCGGATGAACTACATGTTGCGTGGCAGTACAGCTCAAAGCCAGAAAGACCCTTGGCAGTCGCAAATTCGTGGCAAGCGTCTGGCACAGAAGCCGTGAGTGAAGCAAGTCGCTGCCGATAGCGGGATCATCATGACGCAAGTAAGCTTCTTTATATATGATGTTATCCATTTGTAGCGCGCTAGTACGAGCCAGAAGAATCCGACCAGGTGAAGACGACGGCAGCACGAGATGGTTGCATCTGCCTGAATGGCTTCACAAGAAATATATAATTTGTGGTTTCACAGCAGCGACACATCTGTTTCCACACATTCTTTTATGAGGTGAACCATCTTAATGCTAAGCCAAGTCTTATCCGTGTGCAAGGGTGACGGATAAATCCTACATTCGACAGAGATCAGTCTAGCTGGGTCAAAATTCATAGGAATAAAATAAACTGCCCAGCCAACTTATAATACAAAGTTTATAAAGTCCAAAACTATAACCTGAGCCGACGTTTCGGGACCGCTTCTTCGGGGGCGACTGCTCAGCCGGCTCCACGACTTTTCTTGGTGGTGTCTTTCCGCCTTTGTAGTTGCGGTGTTTTTTTTTCCCACTGGTTCCGTGTACACTCGCTAAGGTTCCAGTTTGATATTTCGAGGAGTTGTTTGGATATGCTAAGAACAGTATCTATGTACCTTCCGTGTCGATGACCCGGGCGTCGTCGAAACTGATTTCCCGCTAAACGGAATAGCGTGGGGATGCGAAGCAGCGGGGAGGCGGTTCTCCTGAGCGGGAGATGGTCATTGAGAGCTTGTGCTGGCTTGGACGAGTTGACGGTAGATATAGTGCGATAACAGAACGACGACAAAGATACGCTCGTCTCCCTCTTGTCTCTTTGTCGTGGTTCTGTTCTCGCGCTATATCTACTGTCTTGTGCTGGCGCTCATCGAGGCGTTGCGCAGGTGAGAATTGAAGCGTCCGCGCTCGAGCCCTCCCCCCACCCCGCGGAGTATGCAGCTGTCGGAACAACTAGGGTTACTTCGTTTAAGTACAATTAATGAGGTTTAAATAATGGGCAGACCTGTCGTGCTCGCCGCTCCATAGAGTGGGGGATTCTTCGAAGAGAGAGGGGGAGATGACGCGCGTGCGCTGTGGAGTGGACGGACCACAGCACCATACCACAGCTTTCCTTCCTGCATGACGCACCAGGACGGGACGGGAATGAGGGGAGATCGTAGGAGAGCAAAGATGGAAAAGGGGATGCGTAGAGGAGGGTAGAAGCCGCGCTAAGAAGTGTGGGAGCGACGGACACGCATCCCGCCATAAGCTGATTCGCATCTAAAACATAGTCAAATTACATGGGTCGCTAAACTCAACGAAGAGCGTCGGAAACCTATTGCCACCCGCTGACGATTGAAGCGCGGCTAGGTGAGAACAACCAAAACTAAGAACTCAATTTAATTTTTTCTTCAAATATTAATAATTTTATATGTGCCAAAATTCACCATAAACGCTTTATGGTGTATCTTACACCTGGTTAAATGGTTGATTGCCTCAATTTTTCGTCGAGTGCCACTAGTGGGGAGGGGGGTTACGCAGGCAATTCGCTACCAGAGCTTCCGGTTAGTTCGGCGCATTGCCAGGTCAACGGGGCATCGCTCACTTTTCCGTGGTGGCTTCGTGCGTACCTCCAGCACTTTACTCATTTTTTATGGGCTGTTTACTGGCGTGACGTTTCAGAGCTGAACTAGCCCTCAGAATGGGCCGTTGCTGTGGCTGCCGACTGCTTTCGCTGCCGCACAGCCGGCGTTCCTTCCCCTTTGGTGACGGCGAACGCGACACGCTAAGCAACGAGACGTTGTACTCTACGGCTGCCAAAATTATATTTTCAAAGCAGTTGTCTTGGTGCAGTGGTTTTGGACGATTGGGCAACGTGAGTTTGTGAACTATTATGCTATTGTGCCCGTGAACAGTTGTCTCACGATTGCCCCGGTGAAGGTTTTTGTGCATCTTGTGAGTACGTCATTCGGCTGATAAGACAACTTCGCTTCCTTAATCTTTGTTTTTTTTTTAAATGCGAAGCATTTCTTAGCGCTCTTCGGCGACTTTGCGCGTGCGTACATACCTACCTACCAACCAATCCATCCATCCATTCGTCCGTCTTGTGCTTGAGCGATGCTCCGCGAGTATCGCGTTGCTTCCCGTTCATCGTGCGACTATCGAATTCATCGCTTCGCGCTTGCCGCGGAGCTCATCATTTGCCTTACGATGCTACAAGCAATGACTGCAATACATAGTTACCCTGTGTGGCCTTTCGTTGATTCGGAAGCGGACGCTTCCCAATGGCGTGTCACGTGGCCCCTCTGGCAGCAGTAGGTAGGCGGCGAAGCGGGGCAGCTGCCGCGACAGCTCGAACACGTGGTAGTGGTCGCTGCACAAACCACGGCGTTTCACGCGCTCTTCCGCAAAGAGCCACCCGATAAGGCACGTCGTGGTAATGCGCAACGAGACAACATTTCCCGTAAGGCTTAAGAGTTGCTTGTCAGGTTTAGTTATTTCAGACTTTCATGCATAGGACCCCAACCAACGAATGGGTTTATTTCCCGACGTTTCGGAATCCACATCATATCTTCAGGGGCAGTGACAACGCAGGGGAGCTGCAACTTTTATCGCAAAAAGTAAGGCGAGTCGTGATAAACTTGCTGCTGCGTTTTTAGAACCAGCGAAGGATGTTGGTAGAAGACATGTAATGCCGCAACGGAAAATATTAGCGCAAGTAACAAGAGTCGGAAAGTTATGACACGCGATGCTGTTTTTCCCGAGCCAGAATGCCTAGTACGGTCCATTTTCTAAACCAGCCCATTTCGCTGTTGGTCTGTACGAAAGCCCAAATCATAAAAAAGCGCCTGTTTAGATGTAGATATGCACATCATTTCTACTTTTCTTTTTCGCTGGAATCGCATTTGCGCTGAAAAAGCTGCTTGTTAGAGTGCTTTCCGCCAGCCAACTATGTTCTGGAAAATTAAATGTGCTTGGCCCTCTCGATATTGGCGTGCTCGGAGAAAATAGCGTCGCGTGTCGGAATTTTCTGACTATACAGGCGGCAGCAAAAAGACAACGGGATCGCATGGCCGAAGGCAGCTATCCAGCGACGCCTGCTGCGTTCCGTGGTATCAGCCTCTCATGTCGCTCTCTGCGACGAGCCAAAATGGCACCTGGCTGTCGGTATCACTGCTCCATCTAAATTGTGCCGTTTTTTTTCTTCTTGTTTTTACGTAGCGGCTGCAACGGCGCCGGGATCATGTAGGAAGTTATGCCGGTTGATTCATAACTAAGTGTAGCCAGCCTCGCAAAACCTGGTGCAGCCAAGTAAACAAAATTAAATTTTCTCAGCTTGCCTTACCTTTGTCGCGTTAGGCCAAGTTGAAAAAACGAGCCTAATTACTTCAGTGTAAATGTAGCCGAATCTTATCCAGCCTAGTTGAGGGTGGTATCACCTGATAAATTCGGGCGTAAGAAAGATCCAGGTTGCTGTTTTTATGCTAAGCGTAGTAAAGCTTCGATGCGCCCAGATGGGTCAAGAAAAGTGCACGTACAGCCAAACCGAATTATGCATAGCTGATTATGCTACCATTTCATTTAGCCGAGCAAAATTAGCCCAAATAAGGCAAACCTTGTCGTGGCCAATTAATCCAAGTCGACTTCCCTATAAGCCTAGAGGCGCCAAACCTAGGAAAATACTAATTACTCCTTACTTGCACTGTACCAATCAAGCTAAGTTTTGTCAAATTATTGCAGTTAGGACACGTACTAGTATGGTCGATTAATTGGTCTGATATTCGATCACACACGAAACATATTGGAGTTTCACGTGGCATAATTAGGTGAATTACGCATAAGTAAGCTAATGCGGTAGCGTTAAGATGAGCATAGAAAAATATAAGTGTGGTTGAGCATGGCATCGTCAGACTAGTGTGATTATATATTATTGATTTAGACAAGTTCTAATAAAACAATAAAATAAAAATCTGAGGAAGATACTAGTTACTAATCACTGAGTCTAGTCTTCCTAATCTGTATAATTTTAATTAGCTAAATTAATTGTATTTATGTCTTTGTACTTATTGCGCTTGTTTCGTAAGAACTAGGCTCATTCAAGTTCAACTATAGCCTAACGCAGAAAAGGTGAGCTTAGCTGAGAAAACTTAAGTTTGTGTACTTAGCTTCATCAGGTTTGGGAGGCTGGCTATGCTTAGTTATGCTAATAAACCGGTATATATCACGACGCGAACCCGGCGTTGGAACCGGCGCCAACGCAGCCGACACGTAAAAAAAAAAAGAAAAAGAACGGCACGAATTTGTTAGAGCAAGGACAGTGACACCCAGTTGTCGCTACGAGCGCGTCGGAGAGAGCGACATGAGAGGCCTAATGTTACGGCGGGACGCGCAGCGCAGCAGGCGTCTCGTCGCCAGATAGCGCATCGATGCCTCCGGCCACTCGATCCCTGGTCTGTGCTCACACCTGTACATATTTCGTCCCTTCTCGAGGACAACATTGCTCTATGTGCATGCTAGAATAACACGCAGAATACTCCGAAATTTACTCGAATTGTTGCTCATGCTGTTCCCTTTCAGTAACAACTGCAGGAACCGCCATCATCTTTATAACTTTTGGGGCGCTCGCTTGCATCGCTTATTCCGTAGGCGCGTTTCTCCTGCGTAATCAGTTTGCGTTGCGTACTCGCCTGTCTCGGTGTCCCACGAAAACCTTGAAGTGCAGGTCGACGGCCAGGTCCTTGGGCGGCCACAGTGGCAGGCTCACCTCGGACTGCACCTGCTCGTCCTTCGGGTGGCTGCATACGCGATATGCAAGGACACGTTTTCTTGCCAACGCCTGTTTTAAATGCACCCAGTGCTCGAGAATTTACCCCGTCATGTGCGAGCCGGTTCTGTTTTAGCCCCACAAATTCCTTTCTTTCATTGCCTCGCCCCGCCACGGTGGTCTAGTGGCTAAGGTACTCCGCTGCTGACTCGCAGGTCGCGGGATCGAATCTCGGCTGCGGCGGCTGCATTTCCGATGGAGGCGGAAATGTTGTAGGCCCGTGTGCTCAGATTTGGGTGCACGTTAAAGAACCCCAGGTGGTCGAAATTTCCGGAGCCCTCCACTGCGGTGTCTCTCATAATCATTTCGTGGTTTTGAGACGTTAAACCCCACAAATCAATCTTATGCCTAGTTCACACTGAAACATCCGCTTTCTACAGCGACCGAAATTCCCCTGCCGCCGAACACAGCGTCGTTCGCACTGGACGCACCCCGCGCCGCCGAATATGCCATCTACTACGGGGCGAACGCGGTATGGATGCGCTGTCACCCGGTTGTTGTCGCGGTTCGCAAACGCTACTACGCTATCCAGTGGTGCATACTTCGACGATTCTCGTACGCAAGAAGCAAGAAAAGACAGTACTGCTTACTTTGCTGGCGAGTGGCTGTTTTGTAATGCATGAAGAGCAGAAAAACCACCGACGCCAGCGGCGTTGGTGTGTTCGTTTTGCTTTGCAAGACCGCAACAAGCTCTGTCACGCCAACAGCAAGCTCGGTCACCTCTTTCACGAAATACGGAGGCGAAGTAGGCACAGAGTAGGTTAAACTCCCATTGGTTTCAACATTCAGTTACGTGCACTGCGGCATAACAAGGGAGTAGGGCTTGGCCGCCATTTTTCAAAATTCCTTGACTAGCGCTCCTATTGGTCCGCGGTGACTTATTCGGCGGCAGACGCCGCAAAAATCGGTCCGAGAGCGATCGGTGCGGAGAGGGCCCTTTCTGCGGAACTCACCGCCGCCGAACCGGATTCGGAGCACTTTTCGGCGGCCGGAATGCTCAGTGTGAACGTGGCCTTATGATCACCATTTTTTCCGTATTCGGTACACTACCGTGGTGCGCACGTGGCACGAAATCACGCGCCTCCATTGAATTCAGCGGCGCCTCCGTGGGAGCCTCGGTTGCAGCGCGTGCCGAGGGAGGAGGATCTCGCAGGAAACTTCCCTTGATCAAGGGGTTTTAGGTGCACCATCTAGCTGGTAATGCTGAGATGCCCATCGCCAGCGGTAAGTGGTAGATATAAACAGCTTGCCGTTTTGATGTTGGAGGTGCTCCTTCGTTGCCGATTCCTCGCGCTCATAATTCAGAGGTCACACGTTCGATTCCGCGTGCCGGAGTCTTTTTCTTGATTATTAAAGGCGATAGACCTTACACGCAAAAATTTTAGTCCGTCTGCCCATTTGTCTGTTTGTCCACCCATAACGACACTGGATACTTTAAACGGCGCCAGCCGATACTCCGAACGGCCCAACTCATCCGCAGCGACCACAAACGTTGCTGAATATTCAGCATTCATACTTGTGCAATTGTCAATTAAAAAGCAATTATTGCGCATATCTTAGGCACCATAACAACACGTATGTATTCTGTATGTGCGTCTTTCACTAGAAAAGGCATACATAATAATTCTAAGGACCGTAGCCTTCATCACGCTGCGCTGACCATGCAACGCTTGCAGGAAAAGGCAAGTGTTTCCAACGCTTTGCTAAGACGACACGGTGGTGGCACCTACCCGTCGCCTTGCGTTCTACACCTTATCGTCTCAGAGCCGCGCGTTTCGTTTTCCAAGATAACTGCCAGATAGCGTTCATGTCTCACGCGTGATGTGACTTGACGCGCTCGTTCGCGTCCGCTGCACGATCGAGGCACTTTAACGCAGCGCCTCCAGAATACAATTCGCCGATTTTCGTGAGCAGAACTTCAAATAAACGTTTTGTTCAATCTCTGCAGACGCAAGACTATCCTCTTTCGACGAAATCATTGCCGTGTAACATGCAGATGCGGAGGCAATTTTTTTTATTGAGTTTTCATAAATAGTTGCGTATGCATACACAATGACGCGACGCCCACGGCGGCGGTAAAATCCAGCTGAGTGTGTCCATATAATGATATCGCAATAAAAGAAACTTTGTTTGGAAATCAGTCAGGTCATTTTGCGAAAATGAAACATCAGCCTTTATTTACTTCACCAGTTTTTATAAACATATCAAGGTGAAAATAACCCGTGTGCTCAGATTTGGGTGCACGTTAAAGAACCCCATGTGGTCGAAATTTTCGGAACGCTCCACTACGGCGTCTCTCATAATCATATGGTGGTTTTGGGACGTTAAACTCCACATACGAAGCGAGGTAACAATAATACCATTACAGTTCTTCAATCTAACCAAGTCGTTGCTTCACTTTAGTGTCCCTTTAAATTCCGCTATGAGAGATCGAAGATAAGCTTGTTTCGGCCGCCCGTCGAAGCACGGCTTGCCGATGTGAGGGGGCGACAAGCGGTATACCCTTCCCGCTGGCTTGGTTGTTCTTACAAAGAAAACCTCGATAAGGGTTTATCTTCGGTGCTGGCCCAGTCGATCCACGTGTTCGCAACGGGGAAGGATGGGCCGCGCCGTCCTGCTGTACGATATCGGCCGCCGGAGGACGTGAGGTGAACTTTTTTTTCGCTCGGTGCATTTTGTCAGACATGTGCCTCGTTTGCCATCTGGGCTTGAACACGAGCGGTGTTCTTATGCGTATAACCCCTCGTTGCGCACTGCAGGGACTTTACATCCGAGCTGTTCGTGTCCCTGACAAGGCATCGCAGGCGGACGCGTTTGCACTTCTAGCTGCTAATACGACGTGATCTGTCTCAACCACGGTCGATTAAACGAACGCGTACGTCAGGACAGTCGCGTTTATTGCCGTCAGTCTTTTAAGGGGCCCCTGTTAATGCGCTGAAAACGAGCGCAATATTCTCTCCCATCTTGAGGCACAATTATGACGCCAGCATGTTGGCCACGTGACGCTAGGATAAAATAAGCTCTCGATTAGTCGATACACGAGCGACGTAGGTTGTGCAAAGGAGTCGCTCTGCGTTGTCTCGCAGGGCTATCGTCGGTCGGCTGGTTGACCCTTATTAATCTGGCGCCACCCACCGTGGGGGGGATCGGCCATGAAACGAGCGGTGCCTTGTTATACAAAAACTATCGTTATAATCTCAATAATGCTTGGCTGTAGACAATGCGCGAAATTTCGCTTCGTTTGTGACCGTGCTGGCAGATGTAACATCGTGCAGACTGGCTCAACGCTTAGTGCTGACGTTGTCTTATGGAGAAACAAGTGGCGAGGGGGAAATAGCGATTGTAGTGTAACACTGCCTTGCCTTTGGCGCCCTTTAAACAAGAACAAGGGAAATTGGGGTTCTGTAGAGGGCAAACAAAGCCACGTGTAGGTCAAACATTGATAGCTTGTGCTCTTACGTGTAATACCATACGTGATTGATTGTCGGCGTGCGCTGAAATGCGTTCAGGTCAAGTATTTTTTTTTGTCACTAATTTGCATATGTGGGGACTTGCCCCTCTTACTCAAGAGACGCGCTGACCTGGCGCTGTCCTTTCTACGTTTTGCTTCTTTATCGCCGCAAGCCGGAGCTCGTGCAACTGAAAACACGGGGGGGGGGGGGGGGATCTCTTTGATCTGCAGGGGGAGAGCAGGGTGTTGCCGAGTGTCACATTATGCTATGTATGCCATGGTAGAAAATTGCCCCCGAAGGGAATCGTCAGTACACGGCGTAGTAATCAATGACGAGACGAGGATTCGTACCGTAACCATTTACTTACACATTCATCAGCCAGCGAACACTCCTTTTATAATACGTACGAGCGGACGCGGAAGAGTGGGGCGCTGGAATGAGAGTGCGCGAACGGCGAGTGGAGCAGCGAAGCACTGCACCTGTTTTTCAACTGTACCTGACGCCGTAATGTCAGCGTCTTATGAACAAAACGTTACAAACGCGTTTCAGACGCAGTGCATTGAGGCGGGAGCATTAACAAGGTGCTTGATTGGCTGGTTGGTGCTGCATGGTAGACGAGAGCAGTCAACGCTCTGCTCTGGTTTCCTCTATCCCCTCCTGTCGTTTGCGCTGTTAAGCACTTTCTTCGTCTACCAGGCGGGGGCAAGTCACGTTCAAGTCATGGAGGGGAGGGGGGCTCCGGTCGCTGAGGGGCGACGATAAGCGCCCGCAGCTGCTGACGCCAAAGTGCGACATGGTGGGCGCTCCAGTTGCTACGGACGCGCGCGCTCACAGATGTTGCCATGGGAGAGGGCGGTGGACGGATCCCGACGGACGACTGACATAGTCCGACTAAGGAATGCATTCGCAATTTAAAGCTTTTCGGAGGGAAGGGGCTGGTTTTCTACGCTCTAGCTACGTCACTAATGTAACCATTTGCGTCACGCACTGTGATCAACTGTCTACAAATACGTGAAATAATTTGATGCCAAGGTTCTAGCCACCAAATTTACCGCAAGTGTTAGATAAGTCATAGTATGCAGAAATAGACGGTTGTATATATATATATATATATATATACAATATTAATGAGATCTAACAGACAGTAATGCCTAGGAATGTACAGGGGAAGTTATTAGAACCAATGGAATGTAAATAAGAAGAAAGAAAAGTGGATGAAAAAATAACCAGCCGTGAGCAGGAATCGAACCTACGACCTTCGAATAACGCGTTCGATGCTCTATCTACTGAGCTATCCACTGGATATATCACCAAACACATACCAGTGGCATTTCACAAATGTTGTAGGTTACTTATACGAAGAAAAAAAATCATGCCTTCAATTCAAGTTCAAGAACAAACATGGGTTCCCGGCTCACGTTATTGCATTGATCGAGCGGTAGGTGCGACCTCGCAATGATTTACGCCCCTCGCGTGAAAGTGGTAATTTGCCATTAGCTCAGTACTGTGGTTTCTTCCT